AACCATGAAACTATTTTTATTGTCAAAATCCTGAATGGTTAAATAATGACTAGCTTTCACAGTTTGCCTCTTATTTATTTTATAATCTAGTTGAGCTACTAAATTTAGCTGTTAACTAATAGACTGTCTGTTCTGGGAAATAACTTATTTTCCACCCCTGCACACAAGGTTTATGAAAGTCTGACTGTAAATATATGAATATAAACATATCGCTGCTTGTTGTAATCATGTACATTTTTACTTGAACCTCCATGTGGACTTGGAATATGTTTATGAATAGAGCTTGTTTTCATGTAAATGGGATCAAGCAGTACCACTGGTTAGCTATTCAGAGAATCAGACAATATCACCGTTGCTGGAAATACTTCAATAAAAATTTATCCATGTACCTAATATTTGAACTCAGATTTTTTGCTTTCTAGTTCTCTGTTCTAATCCCAGATTTTATTGACTGACAATGAAGTATATGATGGTGTTAAACTAAATGCAATCTATTCTATCTGTTTTTATCGCTGCATACTTCAGGTTTCAGCTGAAGAGCTGTAAGAAAAGAGATTTTTTTTTTTTCCTCTTCAGTGGCAGCCCAAAAAATTCAGAGAGCAAAAATCCTGCCAACAGTTCTCAAGCCAATTCTATATCTCGAAAGAGAAATACATGAAAACGAAAAGAAGATTCGAGTTTGATAAAGCATGGAACATTTTTTTTCCCTGAGTTTTTTCATGTACCAGAAAATGTAGTGTCCATTAAGTAAAAGAATAATTTCTAAAGGAAACAAATAAAAGGATTTTCATGCTTATTAAACTATACATGTGGGCACTTTCAATAAGAAAATAGAGACAATTTGTGAATAAAATCACGCACTTTAAACTAACGTGCATATTTCTATTTATTTTTTAGAAATTTATAAATATTTATACACTTACCTGCATCTTAAGTGCTTCAAAACAAATGTACAAAATGCAAGGATTGCAAATGCATTATGTATTTTACCTGTCATGTTTGATTCTTTGTTTCCTAAAGAAACTACACTATTTCCAAACAGACTGGGAGGAGTATTAGGCAAGAATATTACAGAAAAAACCAACTTAAGTCTTGCTCCGCTCTGCTGTACTCCCAGCACAAATAGGATGACATGGTATGAGTATCAAGAATACAAGAGATGGCACAGCCAGGTTGTTTTGATATTTGTGTGAAGAACAAATTTAACTCTAAATCTCTTGGCAAGACCTTGCTTCACCCACATAATCTGGAGAACATCCATATGTGAGCCTTGTCTAAGCCTCCGAGAAGACTGCTGCCCTCCTGCTCATGTCCGCCAGCACTCTGATCTGACTTTCATACTTAATCTGATCTAATCCTGTCCAGCATTAACTTCATCTGTGCAATGAAACCTGGAGTATCCATTCTAATATTTGGTGAGGAAGGCATTTACTAAATTACTTGCTGAAATCATATGGTGTTGTTTAGCTCCTTATTTTAATCAGATGATGCATCTCTGAGGCACATTATCAGCGATTAGTTAGAAACCCTTCTCTGTCCTTTTTGGGAACAAAGAACTTTTCTGAAATTAAATGCTAAGAGAAATGAAGCACTGTTGCATTCTGTCAACAAATAGGTATTAGAAAAAGGAATAAAGACGACTCAATACACTTTCTTCAGTGCTATACAAAGCCAGTAACTTTTCTGAAATAAGAAGAGTTTGCTTAAATAGCAAAATATCAAAATACCAAACAAACAAACAAAAGCTTTAGAGGAATATTTTATCAGAAGCCACTTAAAAAGAACATTGTTTAAAAAGACAATAGACAGCTTCGTACTTCCTTTGGCCTTTTTCCTTTAACTATTTTTTAGTAAGGTACAGAAATGTGCTGAACTGAGCTGTCCTAGGAAGTCCTTGTTTTCAGAATTCGGTTTCTCACAACAGTTATGTGCAACAAAACATAACCAGCTTTTTCTGTTTTGGACATTTAAAGGGTCAAGAGCAAATATTCATGAAGGAAAGAGAGATTCATTTAAAAATATCTACTCTCCTAAATGAAATTTCCACATCTCTTTTTACACTGTCTCCATTTACATTATACAAATAATTAATAATGTATGATTTTTAATGTTAGCATGCAGCAAATATAGCACAGCACAATTCTGCAAATCCAGTATCAGAAAAGGGTTGTGTCAATAATCAAATATATTTGCATAAATTATTAAACAATATACCATATTGTAACATGTATCTACCTTTTCATAAATTAAGTGCTGTACTCATTTTTTTACCAAGAATTCTTTTACAATTAACATTTGCCTGTGTAAATAATATAAAGCCTCTGTCTACAAATAGTGCTGTCAAATTAATTTAAGAAACAGAATGTGATGGGGAAAAAAAGGTTTTGAAAATCTTTTTTTCCTCAGAAAGATTTTCTGGGGAGCAAAAAATATATCCCCTTATATCAATAGTCAGATCTTTCCTAAGAAGTAAGCTAATTGAGCTGTTTGTGTTGATAAACTCCCTTTTCTCCAGACTGTTCCTCACTGAGCCATAATTATTTGCAATTTGCCTAAGTCGTCCATTTACTGATACGTCAAGCATGAAACAGAGGCAATTCCAGAAAATGGAAATGCTTCTCAAAATCAATCTTTGGGAAATAATGTGGTAGAAGTTACTGTGTGATAGAAGACTACCTTATAACTGTCACATGGAGATGAATATTAATTTGTTGAGGTTAAGGTGGCTTTGTGCTTCATTTGTTGACTTTGCTTAGCCATCAGCAAGCAGCACAGTACAATTACTCCAGCAAAGCTATTTTTCTAACATGAGTTTTATGATTTTTATGTACTTACCAGTCAGCACACATAACAATGTCAAAATGTCCTTCCAGTTGAGAGACATCTGTCTCATTATCCCATCGTAAAATGCTAGAGGAAAAAAAGATTTTTTTAAAAAAAGAGAAAAGAAAAAAGCACTTACATTTTTCATCTTGAGATTTTTAAAGTGTTAATATTATTCTTATGTGACACAGAAGTGTTTTTAAAAGTATACACTCATTACTCTCCAAGATGAATGTAAAAATATTATTCTGTACATTTTTAAGGTTTTAAATCTCAACGCTAAAGAGCTATCTTTTTATTATAACAGAAAGGCAATCCGCACAGGTTCTGATGGGTGGATCACCAGAAAATATGCATTTCTGAATTACTGGCACAGGTATGTCTTCGGATTTTTACCCCTTAACACTACTGCACGAGGAAGTGAAGTCAAAGTATCGACAATCTGAAGGAAACAAAAATTTGCACAAGAGATGCGAATTCATGAATCTCCATTACATCTGGCAGGCAAGTCAGTTATGTTTCTCATTGATGAAGTGAGCATTCACTTGGGCTGGAGGGAGGAGGGACAGGGTGAAAGAATGCCAAGCTTAACTTCAATGCCAGCTATGTTGCCTCAGGCAAGCTTAAAAATATAGCAGTGCGGACTCTGTCAACACCTATTCTCTCACAGGTGATAAGCTATTTAACTCTAAGGTACCCAATAGTAGGCAAAAATGCACATATGTGCAAAATTCTTCTTTGTTTATAAATGCTGCCAATTTATGTAGCTGTCATGAAGGATTTCAGTACTTTGCTCTCATTTAAAAACAGCAACTAGTACTGGAATTTACTGCATACTTAAAATATCATTACCCCGAAGATTTGAAGCTGCATTTCTATTTCTAGCCTGTTTTTTTTTAAAAAAAGAATCTATCCTTCTTTTTCATTTCCTGGTTATTTATAATAGAAAGTAGATAAATATTTATGGGAAAAGCACTTGTGGGGGAAGGGTCTAATCTGATCTTGTCAGGTTGTGCATGCTTATCTCAGTTTTGTATGAGTCTTGACCAAATAGACCCTTTAGTCTTCCCGCAGCTATAATCTACTTCTGGTTAAAAGCCATCTCCATTCACATTCTACTCCTAATATTTAACTGAGGATCAGTTATAATGTGTTCATTCAGAAATGTTCCCTAAGTATACAGGAAAAAAGGAAATTTTATTCATCAAGTATACTATATGCAAAAAAGGCTTGTAAATATGTAGACAGATCATTACAGAGCCACAAAGAATTAAAGTACCGTTATACGCATGTACATGTGCACAGACACAAAATTCGAGAGAGGATGTTTTTAAAACATGGAAATTATGAAAGGAGATGTCCAGTTGGTTGGGAAAGCTTTGATTATGTGAGACTCAGTGTAACTGAACAGATCAGGACTCATTAGCCCATTTGCCCTCCTGGAATTTACTGTGACAATCCAAAGAGAGAAAAGAGTAGATTAATTTAATTTTTCCCCCTCAAATTGAAAGTATTCCAGATTTTAGAAGCCTAGGTAGCTTTGCACACTGGCACGCAGCAGGCATCCAGTAGTGGAAAGTGACAAAGGAGAGTTCTCACTCTCAGCTGCTGGCTGCCTGCTGGCTACCAGCGGCTTTTTCAACCCTGTTTCCGTGGAAACTTAGGTTAGAATGGTGAAAATTAGGTAAAGGTAAGTTTTGTGGGTTTAAAGCACGCACTCTAATACTTTAAGAATCCTGAAGCAGAACTGGAAATTGGTAGATGAACTGTGAGCCTTAAAAGGCCACCTTTGGTTCTCATTGCTACAGAAACAGAGATCTGATCAGTACCACTATAGGGATTTGAATGATGATTTTTTTTTTAACCCATATATTTACTATACTTCACACATGCAGTTTGGAAGGCAGCACAGGTGCCTCCTCCCGGAAAAAGAAAACCCACTTCTCTCACGTTACTGTCAGGCTCCCACTGAGCATCCAAAATACAGCATTTTCTGTGCACACCTACTGTAGGCACAAAGGGGTTTATGCGGGTAGGTAAAAGCTCAGAAACCACAATGCTGAGCAAAACATGGAATCGACAAGTTGCCAGGAGCATGAGCAGTGGTGCAACGTGACTGGCATGTGTGCCAGCGGCATGCGTTAGGAGTGAGCTACGGGCCCCGCATCCAGCCGTAAGCCAGTCTTCCTCCACTTTCCTCATCTAGCACCAGGGCTGCAATTCATCTCTAGCTTCAGTACAGCTGCATTCTTGAAGACATGATAATTACACAAAAGCCAACGATAAATTCGCACACAAGATTTTCAAAATCAACTTTGCCATAAATTTTCAAAAGGTACAGGAAAATCTTTATTCCTGTAGGGAAATAATCATGTAAACTAAAGAGAATTTCTATAAAATAACTACCAACAGGACTCATTCTGATCTCATGCACGATGCATCCACACTGGTGGGAGAGATGCAACTACAAGCTGTATATATTTATCCACGCTATCTTTAGCCAAGTGCAAGTATGACTAGTAAGAGAAGCACAGCAATGGTATGTGAAGCTCCATACTGGCTGCAACCTCCAAAACTGTTTCAGTAGCTAACTCTGGGCTACCATATCTACACCATTATCTGTTTAATGCTTCCATAAATTTGCATGAACTGCAATCAGACATCTACACCTGTACCTGTAAAGCTGATGTGTCCCTGCATATCAGGGAACCAGAAACAACTCTGCTCAGAGTCAGCATTATTACATCATTAACGCTGATGTCAGAATCAGCTATTTTGAATTCGAGTGTGAATGAAAATAGTGACTCAGAGTCAGGATGTATATAAATACCATCAACCAGCCATACAAATTCTCATAATCCAAACACAATTCCTGAGTGTGAAGCATAGAAAAAAACCACCAATATTGCAAAACAACTCTGAGAAAGGTGAAGGTGTGTATGTGTATCTAAGTGCACGTATCTATACGTAGTAAGGGGGTGAGGAATAACACTTTTTTCAGGGATTACTGAGGACGTGACTCTTAGAGTTAGTGGTCAGACTTGAAAGAAATACCAAAGGCACCATGAAGTAAGGACTGATTGCATTTCCATTTAAAGAAAAGCACTGCTAGGAAACCCAGAAAAGTGCTAGCAACAGAGATCTGAAAATCTCAGTCTTTATGAAGTTTCCTTTTAAAAAAGACATAAGTGTAAAAATACCATACTGCAAAAAGTCTTTTAAATTGCCAGTATCATGTTGAGTGCCAACATGAAAAAAATGCAAGCCTTCTTAATATTTTCCTCTTGTTCCCTTTCCAATGATGCTAAATAAGTGGACATAAACCACTTTTTCCTCCTTTGCTTCCAGCAAAATGAGAAGTTTTAAAGCTATAATATTTTATGCTCCTTTTCGGGAAAGATGCTACAGTACGGACAGCTGAAACTATTTTGTAAATTTGAAAAATGCACTTTACTCTGTATTTCTGTCCAAGCCGTACCTTCAATGGCCTTTTTGTTTAAACTGCACCCCACTCCCTCCACCCCAACATATTTAAGGCTGTGCAAATCTCACTCTTGACCTTATTTTGTGCTGGCTTATTTACCTCATGCAGGTTTAGTTTCTTGCAATTGAAAACAGGTAACTCAACTTCATCAGAAAAGGGTCTGAAACCCACTGGAAATATAAAACAATTTGGGAGCTTTTTTTGGCTACAACAAGAACATTAAAAAATGAAATAGGATGCGAGGGAAAAACACTACTGTGCTGTGCTGTTCAGCTACTACTTACGTGAAACTGATGGTGGCTGAAACTTGGTACCCGCTAATGGCTGCTTTATGGCCTGTATCAAACGAATTTCACCAGTTTTCAGAGGAAAAGTACCCACGTCACAAATCTATTACTATAATTAGCAATCCTGATGGCAGTTCCAGCAAAAAGGACAAGGACTGAATGAGCTACGGTGAATGAACTATCCTCTCACATGCAGAGGCGGCTTTTCCAGGTCAGGGATAAAGCTTACTACTGAAATAGTCAGAGAAAATATGTACTGATGCTTTAGTTTCCCAGGCCGTGAATCTTACACCATTCTAAAGCAATAAATTAATTTTAAAAAGCACCCCACAAACAATCAAAACATTTTCTTTTTTTTTTCCAAGATTTATCTTTTAAATTGACAAGCAAGCCAGAAAATGTGATTAGAGTCAAGATAAAAAGAATTGTAATGATAATAGAACAAAAAGATAAACTAAGAAAATAGACACTTTAAGCAATACCAAGATATTGCCAAAAATCCCCTTGTATTTCAAAGAAAAAAACCCAACAAACAAAATAGCAAATGTCGCAGGGATAGTTGCAGCAGTCAAGGATGCACTCCCTCTGTACAGTAATTCTAATTTATGGAGGATAGCCTGACAAACGTCGACACTCTTTTTCTTACACTGGTAAAGTATCTCAGCAATCTATGACAAAAAACCTGATTTTACCAGGTTTTTATTTCTCATGCAAAATTCCTCATTACTATTATTATTCAACTTCTGTTATTCAGTGTTTGTCTTCCTAGTGTGCCTAGGCAGGTAACTTACATGAGAAAAAAACAGGTTAAGTCCCTGATCCTTAAAACTTGAAACATTTCCAAGTCTCTCTGAGATGTTCTTGTGTTGAATGGCATAGGCCAGAGTAGCTCTCAAGTTAGCAGAAGAGTAGTTGTGCAGATAAAGACACAAAAATCAAAATTAGAAGAAAGGACAAAAGACACAAAAGCATTCCTTGCCTCAAAATATATTAGTAGTTTTAATAATGATAAAAAAAATTTGTCCCAATTAGCAGATGAACAGCTACCAACAATCCCTATCTACCCACCTCTTCTTTTCATATTTTAATTTAAGCTTCAGTCTTTGAAAAGCATTATCATTGGTAAGTATACAGGTTCAGGTAAAAGATTTTGTCTGGGGGCTTATATGACTTTTTCTATGACATCAACCAAGCAAGTTCATTAACACATTAACAAAAGACATCATCAGGATGTTTCTCCACACCTTGATTTTTGTCTGAGATTCCTCAGTTCTGTATAAAGATCAAAAAGCTGGATTTTAATTTAGCGACAGATG